CAGCTGGGGACAGTGAGTCACTGCCTAGTGGAAAGATAGCTGGTATCCGTGAGGGACAAAATATCTCTGTTATAAGTGTGTTAAATTGGAGGTGACTGTGGCTGGTTTAAGAAAGTGGGGAGACGATCAATGAGGATCATGAAAGAGGCTGGGGTTATAGTTTTGGGAGGCCCTGGTTTCTACATAGTTCAGGGCAATCCCTGAGGAAGGATCCCGAGGAAAGAGGGATGAGTGGAGGAAAGAGACATCCTCAGATACGTGAGAGAGGATCTGAGGAGAGAACTGCAGGCAGGCCAAGCAACACAGAGATCAAAAAGGGCCACGTGACTTAACTCAGAGACCGGTTTTCTTGGAAGCGAGGCCATAGCTGGTTGAGTAGATGACAAAGGTTAAGAAAGTACAGGGAGCCAGTGTAGACCTGTCGAAGATGCTGACCAGATTGCTTGTACTACTGCAGGTGTGGACTGCAGTCGGGTGAGGGACGGGAGTGTGGCTTCAGCACTGCAGGCTTTATAACAGAGCAGAACATTGGGGATGTGATGTCGGGAAGGTGGAGCAACACCCAGAAGGTTCTGAGGCAGGCTGGGGTTTTGCGGGGCCTCCTGCCCCAGCATGGCAAATCCCTAGGAAAGCCCCTGGGCAAGCCATTGGCCACACAGGGGCAATGTTCCAAGAGAGTCAAGAAACAATTAAAGAATATGAGAATATATTCAAGCTGAGCTGAACCTTACTTTCAGAAGATGTTAAAAATGAGCAAAAGGAAGCATCTGGGAGAAGACAAGGCCCTGGGATGGCTGGGACACCCGGCCAGCTTACTGTGGCCAGTTCACATGCTCTTGGTGGGAGTGATGACTTCAGAGGCCCTTCTGGTTTTCTATACCTTTTCTGAAAAGGACCTTTTGGAGGTGAGTGCTGTGGTTGTTGTTGTTGTTGTTGTTGTGTGTGTGTGTGTGAAAGAGAGACACGAACTGTGGAGATGATAAAAATGGAACTCTGGATTGGCTTCAATATTGATGACCTCCTCTGGTTACACCCGAGGTCAATTCCTACAAAGCCAAACTCTCAAGACGATGAAGGGTGAGATGCTGAGAAGTTCAGCAGTTTATAGCTCTATTCATTATAAATATTAAAGCCTTGTGAAAATAAACCAAATTAGAAAGTTTTAAGTTATCATTTAACTGTGGTATAAATTTAACAATGTTGATGGTGTAATAGGATTTGTTAACAAGTTCCCACAACTCTTCTGTGATAAGGACTTCTCAGGGAAACCTTACTTTCCCATTTGTGGCCTCAAAGTCTCCACCTTGGCATTTAGAATTCCTCCTCCCATAAAGGGGAAAGGAGCAGGGAGGAAGAGTGGCAGGAAGTCGGGTCCGAGTGCTGCTCTCTTCCTCCTCCTCTGAGTCTCTGACGAAGTCAGTTCTCCCTTATGTGGACCAAGCCCACTGAAATGTCCATGGAAACAGCTGCCCTCACAGGGTCAGGTTGAGGGGAGCCCAATTCCAAGGATCAAGGCTTTGCACGTGTCAGAGGAAGTTCAGGCTGAAGCCCTGTGGCGATTCTTTCTGGAAAGCATCCAAATGGTACAGGTACCTAGAAACACTGTCCTGAAAGCCAGAGCCTCCCTATGCTCAGGCCTGGGTCTTGGGCAGTGTCTACCCTGGGTCCACTCCCCATGGAGGACAGAACAGGATGGGCCAGGCATCAAGACCCCTGGGCAGCTCTAACTCAGCTCTGCATAATTTCCCTCATCTCTTAAGTGATGGGTTGAGTTAGATAACACATAAAGGGCCACCCGGCTTGAGAAACCTGTTATTTCTTTTTGAGAACTGGAGAGGACAGTCTTTGAAGGATGGTGATAGGAAAACCTCCTTAGGCTCTGCTGCAGGCCCTCCTGTTCTCAGCTTCCGGGGCGAGGGGCGGGGGTCACAATGCACTCTTAATTGGAGGGAATCTTTGCTTGGAGATCAGGAAATTTTCTCCCAGAACAGGGAACAGGCTATTGTGAGAAGAGGGTGACCATGCAGAAAGAACCCCCATGTTTTGGACACCTACTCTGTGTTGAACACGGGCAGGGCATTTAGCTTACAGTTCACACAACACTTTTCTGAGGAGAGCGTTCCTCCACTCGGCAGGTGAACCCATGACAAGAGTGGGTAGGTAACTGACAGACAGTCCTAGGAAAGGTTACCTGTGTCTCCAACTCTTTAGAGAAAACAAAGGCACATTGTCTAAGGCTGCACTTTTCCAAAGAATTAAAAACAAGTTCCTGAATCTTAGAGCAGTGTCCTGGATCTTGGCAACTCTGAAGTCCCAGCTGGTGGGACTTCCCCTTCACAGTGATTTTTTTTTTTTCCCTTTGTGGGGCTGACAGGTCAGAGATCTGACCAGCTGCCTCCCAGGGAGCCCTTAGTCCTTGTTTTCTGGGATTCTAGGATTTCAGCCCAGGATATAATTCCAGAAAGGGATCACTCTCTGCTTTATTAAACTTGTCTACACTTAGGTAAAGTGGGCTGTTTATCCTCTGTCAGGTTTTTCTTTAACAGGGGGTGGGGGTGAGTGAGCATGTGCAGAAAATCCATCACCTTGCTTTCCAGTTTCCAGGCAACCGTGCAGGATTACAACAAGTCACATGATAGCACTGCTGCCAGGGAGAAGAGGAAAATGGAAAGCTGTGCTATCTTGAGAAAGGGGCTGGGAATAAGCAAAGGACTGGGGATCCTCCTCTAGAAATATTATCAACAAGTTGCCAAAGACCTAGCGGCTGAAAAGGGCTTTTGGCTCCTCAGCACTTGGCTCAGCCTCCTGCCAGATGGAAAATGCCCCACCAGATACGAAGCCCCGGGGAAGGGAATGGGCAGGGGGTAATATGGCAGTGATAGTGGGGGAGCCATTGGCCTAAGGTGACCCTAGCACCTGTTCTGGAATCCAGTTCCCAGAGGAGTTATTACTAAGAAGATCCAAACCAAACGGGGCTCCCCAGCCCCTCCTTCCTGCTGCCGCAGCCCTGGGATAATGAAGGAGCAGGACAGCCCTTGGTTAAAACCCAGCCTGTGAGGATTGTGGTTGGTTGGGGGGCACCGGAGGGTCAGTGGGGACAACTGGGAGGGGAGGAAAACCACCCATGAAGACCAACTTTCCACTTCCTTTTTGAAAGGCTCCTCTTTCTGAACATTGTTTATTTTGATTTGGACTGTTTTGATTTTTTTTTTTCTGTCTCCCCTCCCCCGCAGAGTGTGTGTGTGTGTGTGTGTGTGTGTGTGTGTGTATACATGCACCACTCCTACTGTTGTTTGTATTGTAGATGCTTCTATGCAATTCATCCCCCTCTACACTTTTGTTCCAGTAATAACACCCTCTGTGGCCTAATGACTCCCAGGGACCATGGTGACAGTTCTGCTCTTGACATTCCTGTAGTCTTGGTCTCCAGTAGGGGTGGGTGTGCCCTTGGTCCAGATCTGCATACCAGTTGAGATGAAGGCTGAGAGCAGTCTTGTGCCATTCACTGTCCAGGATGCCAGGAGGCTGTTAAGGCCCCCCCCCCCCCAGTTTCCTACCTCTCACACTTGTCCCAAGACCAAGATGTATCCTGGGAACACACACTTTCCTTGGCCTTCCCAGGAGGGACTGTATTTCACAGCCTGGATTACTGGCTTTAGGCCTGGGAGGCAAGGCTGATGGACACAGAGAGGCCTTGGGGAGGTAGATGCCACCTGTCATGTGTCCAGTAGCTCAAGTTTGGCTATAAGAACTCTAGTCCCTTATGGCAGCCCCCTAGGCAGAGATGGAGGGATATAATTGCCTATATTATTTCTCTTTTCCTTTGGAAACTAGATAGTCATGTTTCTTGCCTGTTTTAAAGTTCTGAAGGCCTACTGATAGGCCTTCTCTCTACTCATAAGGACTTGCCATCCATTAAGTTCAGCAACAAATAAAGAAAAAGTCAGTAGCATTGGAGAGCCAAAGACTTGCCCAGCTCTGTTGAGGCCAGGGCTCTTTCACTCTTTGGATCTCTTTAGTTCACACTTTTCTGTTTTTTAAAAGGAAGAAAAGTTTATTAGCTCATCAAATGAGGGAATCATTGTATAGCAATTGATGAATGTATAAATAATGTTCTGGGTTTGCAGTCTATTTTGTGCCTTATAAACATTTGGGGGTGAATGTGGGGAGGAATTCAAAGGTGACAAGAGAGTGTTTTCAATACATTGAAATCGTGTATCAAGAGGGGAAAAAGACATTCCCTGTCTGTTGAATAGGTAATACATGGGAGGATGGAGACCTTTTGGGAGTCAGTAGTGAGCATGCGCTGGTTCAGAGAGAAGGCTCGCGTGGGTGCACTGAGCACTCTGACAGCCAGGCGAGGTTGGGAAGTTGGGGTAAATCTTCATGGAGTTGAGGCAGACTCCCTAACGCAGTGTCAGGGAGCGTCTCCAGCACTCAGGCCTGAGTTAGAAGATTCACAGTCTCATCTTCACACATGCACAAACGCAAATCATCCGCAAACTGTTATTTACCCAAACTCAGATTAATGCGTGCAAGCGTGCACACTCCTGGAGTGCCTTCCGCGTTCCGGCCGGCGTGCGCCCTACGGCACTCGGCCAGTCGATTCCAGGGCAAAAACTCCCTTTCCAAGCTCCTCCGAGCACAAATTCCCAGGGAAACTTGAACAGAGGTGGAAAATGTTTGATGATAGAAAAAAAAAAAATCTGCTTGCTTGCAGTTCTTGTGATGGCCAGATTGTTATAAGAAACTGTTGCATTCCAGAGCAGTTGAGGGCAGGCAGGGGGAGGAGACAAGAGCAAAGAGGCCGGAGAACTTGAAAGACCGAATCAGAACTCCGGCAGAGAACGCCCGGGAGGCCGCGGGGGGCTGACTAGGGGCGGTAGAGGGCTGGGGAAGAGTTAACGCGGGAGCGGAGCGTGCGGCGGGGGCGGGATGGGGCGGGGCCGGGCGGGCGCGGGGCGCTGTCCCTTTAAGGCAGGCGGCGCGGGCCGGCCGAGCGCCGCTGTGATTGGCGCGGCGGGATCACTGGCTCCCAAGCCCGGCCCGGGGGAGTCGGCTGGAGCCGGCTGCGCTTTGATAAGGTCCTGGCAACTCAGTAACAGCCCGAGAGCCGGGAAATAAAAATAACCCCGCAGCGCGATGGATTTGGGGGCTGCCTGGCGACCGCGGCGCCCGCCTCCCGGGTCGAAAGCCCTGCTGTAAAAGGTGGGGGCGGCGGCGGGGCCCCAGAGGAGTAGCTCAAGGAAAGCCCCCTAGGACCAGGACGAGGTCGTGTCGGGTTGTGTAGTGGGCGCGGGCGACAGGAGGGGGCCCAGCGGGCCGGAGGCAGGGCACGCAGGGGGTGCGGGCTGCGCGGCGGGCTCCGGGACGGCGGGCGCGGGGGGCGGCCGGGTGCGGCCGGCGAGTACCTCCCTTCCAGGACCGTGCGCTCGGCTCGCGCCTTTGAAGTGCACAGTTAAATCCACAGCGCAGTTTTTGTTGGAAGCGCCCGGAGGACATTTGGTGCGCCGAGTGACTGCTGGAAACAGGACCTGTGTTGAAAGCCGGGCCGGGCGGGGGCCGG